ATGGAAATTAAAAGACAATCTATGTGTTCTTCTAGAACATATTGGTTAAATAGAAAAATGTCAATATTCAAAATGGACATTTTTTTACAAGCATCATATTTTTTGAAAAATTTTTGAAAAATTCCATTTTTTCTCTTTAATAGACAGTAAAATACTGTAAAAAATGTTTATCGAGAAACGTTCAGCAGTTTAGGATACACACTCTAACAATCTAAACGCATTTATTAGTCAGTTACATACATTTAAAAGTTTAAATGTTTGTTATACTTTGTAGCCAAAACTACTGAACAGATTTAGACTAATAAGGTGTCATTAGATTCGTCTTCTTCTCAGGAGTGTCATAGGTGACATTATAATGACACAAAACACATACTATTGACGTCAGAGTTAAAATAAAAAACACCGAATTCAAATCTCACGTTAAAACTTGTTTTTTTCATTTCTAAATATTTTTTTTAATGTTTTTGAATATATTCATCTATTACTGATCACTTTTTTAAGTATTTTTTCAATTTAAAATCAAATTAACAATATAAAAAAACCAAAGTACAATACAACAGGTAAAATTAGGCTTCCTGCAGACGTATACTTACAACTTAGGCCCCCTTTCCAACGAGAACTCGCAGTGGAAGATCAGAATATTCCTTTTGTCACCGGATTTCGGCAGCGGCTCATTGACAAGTGTCAAAACTTGCTCCGGAGTGTACAAATTGATAGCGCCCAGAATATGGCCGCCTTCAAACTCGTATGGGTAACGACAGTCTATCACCTGCAAGAGGAAAAACCTGTTAAAACCTGTTTTATAAAGTAATTTAATTTAAAACAAGTAAATTACTAGAATAATGAAGGAATTGGCTGAGAATTTAAGTTGGCAACATTGATACTTTGCTGTTATTGGCTGAAAATTTAGGTAACCATAGCAACCTTGCTGTTATTGGCTGAGAATTTAGGTAACCATGGTAACCTTGCTGTTATTGGTTGAGAATTAAGTAACCATTGTAACCTAACTTTACTGTTTGGTTTGAGGTTTATCGACATGGAGTTTTTGTCCTAACAGAGCTTTTTTTCGTATTTACCTACTCCCAAGTTAAATAACGTGAAAATATATAACCTAAAGCGTGACGTAAGTGTAGGGCTTTTTATTAAAGGAAGAATTATTTAAAAATATGCTCTTAGGCCACAAAATAGTGTGTTTACACTTTATTATATTAGTATAGCTGGTTCCGTGCGACTTCATTCGCATAAAATTATGAAAATTTTATTTCGTTGTTTACATTTGTCAAATTATCAATTGCAAATGTCAAAGTGACATGACATTATGACAAACCATGGCAACCTTGCTTCCTTGATGTTGGCAGCAGCTTATGATCTCTTTCCCACATCAGAGTTTTTATCCAAAATATTTACCCCCTAAGTTAAATGGCGTGAAAATACATATCCTAAAGCGTGACGTAAGTGTAAGGCTTTTTATTAAAGGAAGAATTATTAAAAATATGGTGTAATTGCTGACATCTTAGGTAACAAAGAAGTGTGTTTACACTTTATTATGATAGTATAGATGGATTAGAATGGTAGTTTATTAGTAACAAAGGGTTTTGTATTACGAAGACACGAGCGGTAACTTACCTGGTAACTACTGACGCTGTCATCGTACTGTCCTTGCAGTAAGCCAGCGAGCGTGTCGCAGGATATAGACTTGAGGTCCGCGTGGTCGCCGTGGGTCAGAGGTAACGCGAACGGTAGAGAAAAATCCCCGATTAGATCGGGCTCGACCACAGCTAAAAAAAATATTTACTAATTATTTTATGGTTTTTTTTTTTATTTTTTATTTCCTGCTGGTATGTTTTTTTGCAGCAACCTTATTATCTTTGTAGTTTTTTTTTTCTAGTTCTTCACCTTGTTTTTTCTTTTCTTTTTCTTTATTAAAAAATTAAAAAAATATATTTTACGGTTATTACCCTAAATTGCCTTAAAATAATTATATTAATATTATAAATGTGAAAGTTTAGATGGATGTTTGTTAGTTTGTAGCCTAAACTGCTGAAAGGATTTGGATGAAATTTGGCATACATGTAGAGGATAGTCTGGAAGAACACATAGGCTTTTTATAATGGTGGCAAACGAGCAAGTGGCCATCTGAATTCACCAAAATGGCAAAATGCCCTGCCCATAGACATCCGCAATTGCAGATGCGTTGCCTACCCTTATCCGACAGAGGAGACGAACATAAAGAGGATATTTCCCTTTCCTATGCATCTCCACCGTCAAATCCACTTCCTCTTCCCATTCTCTCCTTATAAGAAAAGGGTGGTAAAAAGGGACTTAAATTAGATTTTGTTTTTTTACCACGCGGACGGAGTCGCAGGCGAGAGCTAGTTAATTTATAAAATGTCTCAATATAGTTTAAATAATTTACATATTTACTAAAATGTATCAGTTTTAAAATACATTTTGGATGGATGGATGAATATAAGATATAAAAATTCGGTAACAACACATGCGAAGCTATTTTTTTTTCAATGATACGCGGACAGACGCAGGTAAAAGGTAGGGGATAGGATATTTTATATATTTTTTTGTTACTAAATAATTCAAAAACGGCTAAACAGATCTGAATGTAAATCTCTACAAAGATAGATAGTAAGTTTGTTATTGTTTATAGGTGTTACTAGCTGTTCCCGCCCGGCTTCATCCGCATGAAATTATGAAAATTTTATTTTATTGTTTACATTTGTCAAATTATCAATAGCAAATTTCAACATGACATGACAAATCTTGGCAATCTTGCTTTTTTGCTGTTGGCAGCAACTTATGGTCTCTTTACCACATTAGGGTTTTTAACCAAAATAACCCCCTAAGTTATAGCGTGAAAATATATAGTCTAAAGCATAACGTAAGTGTAGGGCTTTTTATTAAAGAAAGAATTATTCAAAAATATGGTGTAATTGCTGACATGTTAGGTAACAAAGTGTGTGTTTATATTATATATAGATAAAAAAAATACTTACATCGTGCAAGCGCTGACATAATAGATGCGTTATTTTCAGAATAAGCCCGTTGCAGTACTGGTCGTTTTTCTAATTGTGGGCTTTCACAGTTAGATTTCCTCCGTTTGTTACAACCGTTTTCTAACTCATTAACTTCAGTACGTTTCTGTGATTTACTTCCCGGTGATTCTGTTATCGAGAACAGTGAAACCCTAGCTTTAGATAAACTCATACTACGATGTAACGGTTTCTTTAAATAATCCTTATTTGTGATTATATTTTCTTTTATTGTACCAGATAATAATTCATTGAAATTCTCGATTTTAGGTGAATTTGATATATCATCGAGTTCGAGAAATGGTTCTTCGAATTCAGATACGAAACCGCTTTCCATAGACGCTGTTGATTCTGAGGGGAATCTGACACTTGTATCTTTTGTTGGCGTTTCGTTGAATTTTAACGATTTTTTCACTGAAATTGATGTTTTTTTAGTCGCAGGTGAGGTGAATTCGAAACTCTCGTCTTCGAAGTTTAGCATTCTTGTTGCGTTTATGTTTGGTTTGTTAAACGAAGTCGACGCTTCATTGTCAGCTAATGGTGCACCGAATACAAAATCTTTTGAGCTGATTTTCCTCGTGGAACTCCTCCCTCTGGATATAATATCAGGGCTGTCTGTTGATATTATCTCGTATTTAGAGCATTGGTCGAAATTGTCAGCGTCGAATTCCTCTTCCAAATCGTGTAGTGTCTCAAAACCGTTGTCCAAATCTGTACTTAAATCCTTCTCGGGGACATAAATGTCGTTTAGTTTTTCATATTTCTGTGGTAATGCATCCGTGAAATCGAACTGGAATGAGAAATGTAATGTTATAGTACTAGCTTTTGCATGCGACTCCGTATGTGAAATTTAGAAATAATAATAAAGAGATGAGAAAATATAGAAAAAATAGTATTTCTAACGGTGAGAGAATTTTTACAATCTGCCCAATAGTTTTTGTGCCTGTTCATTACAATAAAACAAAGATTTCCTCTTTATAATATTAGGATAGATCATAAAGAGAAAAGATTTGTTTTTTTTTAATTATTTATGTGAAATAACTCAAAAACTATTTGATCTGTTTAAAAAATTCTTCAACCATTAAAAATGGCCTAATTTAAGTCCCTTTCTCTTTACCACCCTTTTCTTATAAGAGGTTGGGAAGAGGAAGTGGATTTGACGGCGGAGATGCATAGGAAGGGGAAATATCCTCTTTATGTGTGTCTCCTCCTCCGTCGTATAAGGGTAGGAAACGCCTCTGCAATTGCGGATGTCTATGGGCAGTCGCTTCGCCATTTTGGCGGTTTCAGGTGGCCGCTTGCTCGTTTGCCATCTTATGTTATAAAAAAAAAAAGCTCTTATCACTGAAAAACATAGGTATAGTTTTATTATTTTTTTAATTCTCGCGGGCTAAATTTATCATAGATATAGGACAGTCTGAAAGAACATTTAACTAATAAAGTTTGTAATCCTGCGGACAGAGTCACAGGCGACAGTTAGTCTTAATGTTTCAATGTTTGAGAATGAATTCAGATAATTAAATAAATGTATGTAAAGAGTAGATTTTTTTAAAATACCTATAGAATATTTAAAACATAGTAGAAATTAGATAATCTTTTTATGTATTTAATGTGAAAAACAAGCTATTTATCGGAATTCGCTGAAATAGCGAAACGCCTAAACATCCAATTACAAGACAACAAAGAGAAAATTTCCCCCATCTTTATCCCCCTAATCAAAATCCGACCCTTTCCTTGAAAATTGACTAAAAAAATGGTTTACCGGCAAATAAACGGAATTGCTTCCAATTCCTATATTGTGTGGAATTACAACAGGGATGTATCTAACAATACATTTTAAAACTATTAGATTAAAAAAACTTACCTTAGTCGACCAATTATTGACTTTCTCAGTAGACACTAATGATCTGAAAGTCTCTGCGAATGAACAATCTCTTGTTTCTTCCTCCATATCTAGTTTTATGAATGTTTCGCTTAATAACGGGCTTTGATTCTCTTTGTTAGACATTTTAAATTTACTCCTTTCTTCGAATATTTTAGTTATTTTAGATGTACTCCTTTTAAGTCTGTCTGAGCGACTTGTTAATGGTGAAATAGGTCCTATTAGCGGTGAATTTCTTAATCTTTCGATTGTCGGTGATATCCTTTCTAAGATTGGTGAGTTTATTGGTCTGTAAGGTGAGTTTTGTAGTTCTCCGAGTACTCTCCGTTTAGGTGTAGCTATAGGAGAACTGTGTGGTGATTGTTTTGAGTTGAAGTCCAATGAGTGCGGATTCATTTTCAGTTTGAAGTTTGTGGTTAGAGCTTCGCTCTGTTTCCGCTTTTTTCCACCGCTCCCCGAGTTGATTTTGAAGTTTTCTGTTATCAACCTGTAAGAATATTGATGGTTTTAGTATGTAGAGTATTTAATTCAAAATGATTATAGCTAAAATTGATAAAGGAGTGGAAGAAATATTTTAAAACTAGATTATGCAACATGTCTATATTATATCTGTCTAAACAATTTTTTATAATCTTACTAATATTATGTGAATGTTTAGATGGATGGATGTTAGATTTTGTAGCCTAAACTGCCTTTGGTATAGACGTAGAGGATAGTCTGGAAGAACACATAGCATACTCACTCTTGTTTTTTTTTAAATTTCATGCAGATGGAGTCTCAAGCAAAAGCTAGTAATTTTATAAAGCTTATATGGATGTTTGTTAGAGTTTGTAGCCTAAACTGCATGCAGACCTCAATGAGATATAGCAAAGATGTAGAGGATAGTCTGGAAGATAACATGGGCTACTCGGTTATGATTTCTTTTAATTCTAAGTGAATGCAATCAAGGGCAAAAACTAATAACTGTATTACATTTATTAATAGATTAATTTTTTTTAGAATATTACTGACAATAAACGAGATATTTAACCTTTAATGTCTATAACATTTTTGTTATACTTAATGCTAATTATTTTTAGTACATTTCACAACTTAATTTGTACTTAACTAAGCTGACAATCAAGTATAAATTAAATATATCGTTTTATAGTAATAGTCTATTTTTAAAAACATTCACAGATAAATTAACTGTCATTTAAGCTAATTTTCTTTTAAATATTTGCTAAATAAAGGTGGGATTTCATATCAATTACGTATAATAATATAAAAATCGTATTTAATTAGTTTTAGATTAAATCCCACGAAAATTTAAACAATTAAATTCAATACATTTTAAAAACATCGATGGAGTTCATTCCCTAATAGTACTAAAGATAACAATATCTTTTATAAAGGGTAAAATAACAATAGATATGTTTTTTCTTCACGATATTAGGGTTTCGATATAAGTAATAAATGTAACCGGTTACCTTGAAGCCCTTTCCCAATATCCTACATTATTCCGAGTTCAAACGCACAATGAGTACCGTTAGAGGTTATGAGAACGTTCCTTCAGTCCACAAACTACAAATTCCCATGTAAATGCACTTTTAAACTAACATTTTTTTGTATTAATATGTTAAAAACAGGTAGTAGTGAATCAGCTGACAAGTTCGCGCGCTTTAGAGTTTGATTTGACAGCTGTCTATGTGCGATTTGCGTTCGGAAATCCGCTGAACATGAACCAAGTAGGTTTTAGTAGTTATTTTTAAATTATTTTTAAGAACCCATTTTTAAGAAATATTTTGTGTCTTTAACATTATCAGAAAAGTAAAATTTTTGTGTTTGTAGAATATATACAGTTTTTTCAACTACTCAACACTAAAAAATTCAAACTCAAACCAACAAAAAAAAAACTTTTAAATACGAAGTTTTAATGAATGTTTATTAGAAAGTATCTCCAGATTGTATAAGTAGTCTAATAAAGTTTTTTTTAACACAGATGAAGTCGCGCACAGTTAGTATTATAACAAAAACTTCTGTGTACCGTAAATATGTAACATTGTATTCTTCAAGATCATGCGCATTTCTAACAAAAGATAAACATCAGTTTAAGTAAATCTGATCAATATTCAGTAAATTAAACATTTTAGGGATGGGGCGACGGTTTGAATAAAATATCGATTTTAACGGTTCGAAGTTAACGGACGTTATGGTTGTTTTGAAAATATGCGTTCCAATTATTTTAATTAATAATAGTAAAATAATACAATTCTAATTAATACTAGTTAGGAGTAGATAACGTTGTTTTGCAACTAATAGACGATTTTCCTTAAAAAAAAAACTTTACAGAATACTCCTGTTTGTTTGAACTGGGATAATTACCTAAATATACTAGGAGTAGTCTGCGACTTCGTCACGTGAAATAAAAAAAGTGAAAAATATTGCCTATTTTACTGATAACATAGCTTTTTAAGGGTTTTTTTTTTAAACGGCCCAGTAGTTTTTGAGCTATTTCAGTAAATACAAAAATCCAAAAATACAAATCTTTCCTCTATAAAATATTAGTATAGAAGTATAGATAACGCAACAAAAATCGATGTAACGTAATATTACATCTTCAGTTTTAGTTTTTTTAGGCTTTCTGAATACCAGTCAATTAACAAAGTCTTAAATATATTTAAACCTGACTCTGAGACGTTATATGATCCACTAAATGTCCATCCATAAGTTTTTTTTTTATTAAAGGCGACATCTTGTCTTGCAATCAAAGAAATTAATGCATTACATTTGACGTGTACCAAGGAGGTTATAACTGAGAACCTTTTTCCTTGCACCAAGTCAATTCCCGTCTCGGTCATTCATAGCCCACCCTTATGTTTTAACAATGGGGCCCTTGCACTCAACCTTATCACGGTTTGGGTTTTTTTTGCCGAGTTAACGGTACAACGTACAGACAGACAAGGGGACTTTGTGCGTATACGTTAAAGTCTGTTGCATGATATATAAGAAACTTGCGTATTTTTTAATTATAATTAGATATCAAAATCGTATTAATCGTTGTAACTGAAATATAGATTTTTGGACAATGTAAAATATTTTAAATAAGTCGTAAGCCGAGAGAAGTTAAAGTTTAGTGAATTTTTATTTATAGAAACACGCTTTTTATTAATAGTTCCTAAACATTGGTAATAATAAAATATAGCCTATGTTACTCACAGATAAATTACCTTTCTGATGGTGAAAGAATTTTTAAAGTAGGTCCAGTGGTTTTTGAGTTATTTCAATACATACAAAAATAAAAATCTTTCCTCTTTATAATATTAGTATAGATCTAAGTCTTAAGCACTAATTAAGTAATTAATATATTCAAGTTACACTTGTCTTTAAGTTAAAGTTAGTCTTCATAATCTCATTATTATGAAAACACCAAGACGAGTATTGCAATTTCTATTCAATTATACTAAGAACGTTTTTTCAACTGTCAATTGGTACTTGTTATTGTAATACAAGCGATAAATCTTTTGTATTAAGGTCGAAATTCCTTTGTAAAGTTTCGTAAAGGGTTGCAAGGGAAATTATTCAAATTAGTTGGTACGTTGCCCCCTTTTCTTATATTCGTTGAAATCAAGTGTTGCATCGCATTGATTTGCTTCTATTGTTGATGCAAGAAGCGAGTTTAAACGGTTTCTTTTGGCTTTGCTCTTTGTAAAAGATACCAGTAATAAACAATTGAATTAATCATCATATAAATATTATAAATGCGAAAGTTTAGATGGATAGATGTTTGTTAGCGTTTGTAGCCTAAACTGCTGAACGGATCCCCATGAAATTTGGCGCAGGTTTGGTGCATAATCTGGAAGAACACATAAGCTACTTTTTATCTCGGGAATAGTTACGGTTCCCGTGGTATTCATTAATTTAGTTTTTTAATGTTTAATCAATCATTCTGCAACGGTTCAACATATCTTATTGAAATTTGGCACAGATATTAAACAAAGTCTGGGAGTACACATGGGATAAGCTTCATTCCCGAGCGATACGTAGCTTTTTGTAATTTATATAGTTCGTATGTTTTCTAATACAACGCGGACGAAGTCGCGGACAACAGCTCGTTAGATAATAAAGTTATCATAGCACAAACAATTAAAAAAAAATTTGATACATGTTTACGGCCTGTCCCATCACTCGCTGATAGAGGCCCAGATAGCTTAAAACTAGTCAGATAAGGAAACAAAATCTATTTTCATAACATATTATACAGGTTGTATAGTTATCAAACAATTTACAATTTGGTGGGACAGGGCCGTAATCTTATGTTTTAAATAAAATCACTTGTCACGAAAACCGGAAACCTTTCGCATCCCTAGCTAACCTCAAACACGTTAGCGAAGCCGCATCTATATTTAGTCAAGGTTGCAGGAAGGATATCGGCTCAAATACCACGTTTCCGAACGATAATTTATTTCAGGAAATACCTATACCGGATTTGTATGTGGTAACGGTTTTTGGACACTTTTTGCGGTTACCGGAAAGATTAAATAAAACATAATGCTATATGAATCGAAAACCGTATTATAGTTCCGATAACTTTTTAAAATATCACGAATAAAAACGTGCGATTGTCGATTGTTGGCAGCTTCAACCTTTTAGTTATCAACTAAAAATTGAGTAATGTAACCTTCATATATGCTCTTAAGAATCAAAGCGACTACAGTTGTGCGATGGTTTAGTCCAATGTGTGCCAACCTTTAATGTTAAAGTTTCGATGAATGGATATATGTTTGGTACTACGTATCAAAATGGCTTAAGGTTTTTTATTCTTCTTGGCTTTCACACTTAAGTGTATTTAGCCACTGACAAGAGGCTTAAGGATATATATATAAGATGTATTTAGGAATAGATGCAGAACATTCTGGAAGAACACATACCAATAAAATTTTTATTTTTAATTCATTAATGACAGAGTTTTTTAAAGTGCATTTAAATTATTTTTCGATAATAAAACAGAAGAAAAAAAAACAAAAAATGACACGTTCTATTTTCAAAAATCAATTCCATAGCCAACCTGTATTTATGTAGTGACGCCCCAAAAACCAATCGATACAACCGTTATTAACGGTAAAGCACGGGGGTTGCTACCCTATCGTTACATTTATGTCATTGGCGGTTTTGTAATTATAAAAGTATTTTTTTTATAAGTGTTTATATAAATTTTGTCTGAATTACAAATCCTTGAGGTTTTAGCTTAATTTTTTATATCCAAAAATAATACACTATTTCGTATATAACGGGATAAATAAATAATTATTTCCAATAAGAATTTTACAATTCATAAAATTAATAATCAACAATAAATCATTCTTTATACAAAAATGCTTACATAAAAAAATTAAAAAAACTGTCCTTATCAAAGGTCGTTGGGTTATCGATTTTATAACCGAAAATATAAAAAATATAAATTGTCTATTGTCGAGTACTCCCCCAACTTTGGCGCGTGCGGGGAGAACGGCTGCGTGTGGGTGCTACAATAGGAAGGTGCCAAGTGTTAGTTATTGTAAAAGATTTCCATTATACTTTATATTTATTGTACAAACAATTTATTTAACAACTTTTGATCTGTTACTAGTGATTTTTTTAATTAACAGCTCGCAATTTGACTAAACTATCGCAGAACTTGGTCTTGCTTTGATTCCTATTACCTTATATGGAGGTACTTCTCGATTCTTATGTGCCACTAAAAAGTTGTAGCTGCGAAACAAACAAAATCTCACAACAATATAGTCTAAATGTGAGCCAGCTAAAAATGTTTGCTGAAAAAAAGATATTAAAAGCTCAACTTGAAAAGTTGATAGTACAATAAGATCCGACGGGTTTTATCGCAAACAAGTTCGGAACATTCACAAAGCATATTTAAAAAACCATGCGAAGTCTCGAAAAAGGGGTTTTAACCCTCAGTTGTCAGTCGGACTGAGATTAACAAATATAAACTGAATTTGGGATAAAATTAACCTGAATTATAAAAAAAACTTCTATGCTAAAATATGTGTGTTTATTTTATACCATAAGGTAGCAAACAAGCAATCGTCCTGAAATTGCTAAAATACCGAAGTCGCCGCTACCCATAGTTCAAAATGTTCAATTCCAGATAAGTTGATTTAGTCTACGAAGGAGAGAAGAGATAGTTTTGACTGAGGAGAGGATGCATTTAGGGTACAGAAATAGGATAGTTCGATTCCACGGAAGAACCCTGGCTGCAAGTTCTAGTGTTGAACCAAGTGCTCGACCACTTTTTTCTTATAAAACTTTTATAAATTTTTAAATATTAAGACAATACAACTATTGCGTCCATTCCTCGGTCAAATCCACTACATTTCCTATCGTTTCCTTATAAAG